GTTGCCTGCTCCCTTCTCAGCCTTACCATGCTTGGAGCATGGGTCTGAAGGGGACATACAAAGATATAGCCCTTGTAGAGGGTGAGCAGCAGAAGGATTGGAGCCCACCCCTTATGACTTGACTGAGCATGCCTGGACTGCCACCTCTGTACTTCCTGCCATTTGAGGAAAAAAATTCCCCATCCTCTCTCTTGATTTAACCACACCATGTGTGGGGTTTTTGTCATATGCAACCAAATGTACTCTTGACATACCAAGCCAGCATGTCCTGGCCACCAACTCTTTCTGAAATTCTTTTGAGGTATCTAGAATATTTCTTTCTCTCACATCTAGCACCACAGTGACAGACTGAATGAACTGTATAATTATTATTTATAATTATTGCACCAGTACTGATCATTTCCCAAGTGCCTCCTGGGGGCTTGGAATTGGGCCAAGTGATCCTGGGAATCTCACAAGGTCCTCATTTCCTAATGAGGAAACCAAGGCTCAGAAATGACAAATGACTGGCTCAACGTCACACAGCTAGAACCCTGAAGTTGAGCTCTGAACCCAAGTCCATCTGACTCCCCTGCTCCTCACCTTCAGCAGGTCTAGTGCAGCAGGCTTCTTTAACAAGTAGGGAGACTGGAACCCAAGAGGAAAGGTAACTTCCTGACAGTTACACAGGAATTTCAAGGAATCACAAGAAATCAGATCTTCTGGGTCTCCATTCTATAGTTCTCTTAGTGATAATCTGCACTTTAGTCAATGATGGGGCTTGAAGTCTAGGCTAAGGTCTGGGGGCAGTTGGAGCTATGGAAAGTTCTAAACAGAGTTAGGCTGATTGGCACAGCAAAGGAGGACTGATAACATCTCTTCTTCCTTAACTGGTGGAGGTAGGGGTTCCGTGGGGTGAAGTTTTACAGTCCCAGCAACCTCCTGAGCAATTGTAGTCCCTCAGCCAGAAAATTGTTCTTTCCCAATGGCTCCTCTGCATCAGGCAACTGAGCCCCTGATCCAAGGAGCTGACATCTCATGCTCCGTGGATTACTCAGATGGTGGGGGCAGGTGGGGAAGATGCTGGTGGGGTAACCAGTAGGCCATCCTGTGCTAATCAGGTGGTACCAGCTGCCTAGTGGTGAGGTTCCTATGATAGGGGACCTTGCAATGGAAACACCCGGATGAGCATGGGAACGCTCTTCTTAGCAGTCTTCTGCTTGTTTATCTTTCTTCTTGGCTCATCCCTGCTAAGATTTGTGTATTTGTTTAAAGGGTCAGGGTAAGGGAGCCCAGAGAGGCAGTGATAGGATGCAGCAGAGAGTTAAACTTCAGATGTTGTGAAATCAGATAGACCAAGGCTCCAATCTCAGCTCTACCACCTATAGCCTGTGGCTTTTAGCAGGCCAGTTAGTTTTCCTGTTTATAGAAACAGGGACCAGAAGAAAATCTTCCTCACGGGACTGTCATGTGTTACAAAGGGGATGATGCACCAAAGGCCTCAGCATCCTGCCTGTGGCTTTCAAAGTGTGCCAGCTGTGGCTGCAATTCCTCCCTCCCTTCCTCACCACACACACGATCTGGAGGACTCTTTGGGCCTCAGCTTCTTCTTTTGAGTAAGGGATACCATGGTACCTTCCTCTTGGAGCTGTTTGAGAATTTCAACAAGAAAAACATATAAAGGGATTTGGTGACTCTTAACCCTTAGGTTCTCAGCTGGACTGAGTTGTGTTTATTAGACCTTACCACCCACCTACTCACCACTGCCATAACAGGGTTTTCTGTTTCTTCTTGAGCAAACCATTTCAATTCTGGGCCTCAGTCTTCATTTTATGTAAATAGAGGCCATAATACTGACTTCACAGGGCTGTTGAGAAAGAACATATATGTATACATCCATATATACATATATGTCTGTGTAGTATATGTAAAACACACAGCACATTGTTCAGCACATAGCAGATACACAAGAAATATTATTCATATTTTTAGTCCCTCCATTACTTAATGGAAACCTGACACTAAGCAGGAACAGAGGAGGAGGAAGAGAACTTTCCATGGAACCTTCCTGCTCAGGTAAGGGAAGAGAAAGGAGGGGCAGTAGAGAACAAATGTTGAGCTCCGATGGAGGCTGAATGCACACGTGGACCATTTCATGCTGTCCTCATAATCACTCTTGCATGATTGTGGAATTATCAAGCCTACTTTATGTATGGAGAAATTGAGGCCCACAAAAGGCTCTTGGCTGCTTAAGGCTATAGTGAGAGTTGAAGACAGGGGTTTAAGACTGAGATTTGAAGAGATTTTGGGCTGATTCCAGAGTGCTTTCCTGTCTGGTTATAAATCTGCTTACAGAGGTGGGGTGGGGTGGGGCTGGGCCCATGAGTGATTCAGGTGAGAGTCAGCTCTGGATTTCCAAATACTGGGTGGGGCCCAGCTGGGTGAGACCTCCCCATGGGCATGCAGATGTGGGCCCTAGGTAGGCAGGAGGGCATATGACTGGTGGGGAGCAGGGGGTGAGGGCCTCAGAGAGAGGAAACCTTGTCACTAGTGGGGTATAGGGAAGAGGGGCCTTGCTGTCTTGACTGTGAAGTGTTCAGGCCCTGGGGTGCAACTGAACCGGTATGACTGTCAGGAGTATTAAACCAATAGGCTCGATGGGGAAACAGAGGCAGACAATGACACTTTGGGGGGTTGCTGAAGCAGACGCACACATTGGCAGTCAGCTCAATGAGGCAGGCCTTCACTCACACAGACACTCATTCCTTTCTTTGTCCAAGCAAATAGCCTCTTGGGATGTCTTCAGTCAGCCTATGCTTGGACACAGGAAGGAGTTCAGAGTGACCGAGACACTGACAATTATACCACAGTCTGTCACTGCTGTGACCAGGGACAGTACAAGAGCTGCCTATAGGAGAGAGCAAAGGGGAGGCATGTCGGGGGACCTGGAGCAGATGGGGAGATGTTCTCCACCTTGAGGGCTGGTTGCCCTCTACACATTCAGGTTATTGACTTTGAAGCAGAAGAGCAGGGAAAGGTAAACCTGGACTGTGGCTCCTTTCACAGAACCAGGACGAGGGCTAGCTTGGACTTCTCCCCTGTATATCCAGCTGTGTGTTGGACCATTCCTTTGAGGTGGACCAAATCTAAACTCTACTTGGTCCAGATGAATCCCTGTTTCCTGGCATTATCTCCAGCAGCACCCCAGAACCCGGGTGTCCTCAACACCTCTCTACCCTGAGCTCCAGTGCCAACTGCTCGTTGAGCGCTGGCACTTCAGCCATCATGTCTTTTGTCAGTCTCTTTTCTTGCTCCACCCTCATGGTCCAGCCTGGTCCCCGGAGGCCTGCTCTGGCTCCCTGGCCTCTCTTCTGCTGCATGCATGCTTCATCAACTCCATACTCTCATTGCATCCATCTTCAAACTGCATTGTTGGTCATAGAGCCTGGCCACATGAGGGCTCATTTGTTGTCTGGTGGCATCCCACTTGCCCTCATCTAATCTGAGAACCACCTGATCCTATCATCCTGATGTTCAAATAGGAAGCAGACACCCAGATATGTCCTAGAGACTTGTCTATGGTCACAGTAAAGGAAAAGTGAGATTTGAACTCAGTTCTCCTGATTCCCAGGCTAAAGATCCTCCCTCCAACACCAAAGTCAAGCTAGTGTTTGTTGTTTTGGGTACAGATAGGAGATCTGGGAGTGAGGTACAGGTGTGGTAGCTCCCTGGACCTAGGCCTAAGGCGAGGGCGGGCCTAGAAGTGGAGGGTGGAACCTCATGCCAGCTCTTCTCTGGTTTCTTTATTGTCAGAAAGTCCCCTTTCCTCTGAACAATTGAACCCCTAACTTTCCTCTCTGACTCCATCCTTTTTTACTGACAACCATTTGACTTGTGACTTCTTAACCTGCTGGGTGGGTACCAGGGGGTCCTGGATCTGGGGATGCAGAGAAGTCTGAAGTCAGGATCCCAGGGTCCTGGTCCCTCCCCTGGTCTGCCCTGGCTTGTTCTGTCTCCCTAGGGCAGCTGGCTTTTGTCCCAGTGGAGCATGGGAACAGCTCTGGTGTGGAAGCAGGAGGGGCATCTTGAAAGTTCTTGCCTCTCCCACCTGCCTTCCCTGGGCCCAGAGATGCCTAGAACAGATACAAGGATGTATAAATGTATAGGCCCTTGTGTCAAGCCTTTCCACCTGAGGGTGTGTGTGTGTGTGTGTGTGTGTGTGTGTGTGTGTGTGAGAGAGAGAGAGAGAGAGAGAGAGAGAGAGAGAGAGAGATGATACATGGTAGCTGAATGTGCTGGGGAAAGAGGGGGAGAGAACTTGCTGGTGAGGGGACCAGGAGACTCTGAGACTGTGTGACGTTGGTCCTATTGTCTGGTACTCCTAGATTGTTTCCCCAGCTCTGAAAAAGAAGAACTAGGGGGCTGGAGAGATGGTTTGTTGGTTAAGAACAGCGGCTGCTCTTGCAGAGGACCAGGGTTCGAATCCCAGCACCCACATGGCAGCTAACAACCATCCATAACTCCAGTTCCAGGGAATCCGACACCCTCTTCTGATCGTCACAGGCATTGCACAGGTGCACTTGTATGCACACAGGCAATACACTCATACACATTAGAGAAAAAAATAAAATAAATAAAGCCGGGTGTGGTGGCGCACACCTGTAGGCCCAGAACTTGGGAGGCAGAGGCAGGCGGATCTCTGTGAGTTCAAGGCCAACCTGGTCTACATAGTGAGTTCCAGGAGAGCTGGGGCTACAGAGAGACGGGGCCACAGGGAGACCCTGTCTCAAAAAGACAAAAAAAATAAATAAATAAATAAATAAATAAATAAATAAATAAAATAAAAAAAAAGAGCCAGATGCTTAGATCCCATAAGGCTGGCAAGTGGCCACCCAGCTGGAGCATGGAACCTGGCCAGCCCCAGAATCTGAGTTAGGAGAGCTTGGACAATGGAGCATCCACTCTATGTGTATGGCCTCTTTGAATCTTGGAGTGATTTGGTTACTATGCCCACTTTATAGATGAGGACCAGAGAGGATGGACCAGGACCTTGTCCAAGGTGACCCAGCTGGCAGGCCGTGGAGTCAGGCTCTCAACCCAGGCCTTTCATCTCTGACAGAGGCAAGGTGAGAGGATGCAGAGTCCAGGCATGGGAACAAAGTCCTCCTTGTTGGTCTGCCTGAGGGGTAGTGCATTTTCCACGGAGGAAGGACCCCACGTACAGGCCAGACTGGGCTGTTCTGGTTCTCTCCCCTGACCCTGACCCTGACCCTAACCCTAACCCTAACTCTTTTGCTCTCTGTGTTTTCAGGCTGTTTCAGACCTTGGTCTGGTCTGAAGCACAGTTTTGTCCCCAAGCCCCGGGTGTCCTCAGCTGTGCTCATTCTCTGTGAGCCTCAGTTTTCTACCTATGAAATGGACGCATTACTGACACGTTTAAAGGTTAAGTGCCTCAAATAGCCTTAAGAGGCCACCATGCAGTAATTAAAAGATGTTTTGGCCAGGGCTGGAGCAGAGGAAGTCAGCTGGCGGCGTCTAGGTGACAGCTGGAGGGAGGGAAGGGGGTGGAGCCTTGGGATGGGTGAGACGGGGCGGGCCAGCGCTCCGGGCAGTGCTGGAGTTGTACAGGAGAAGCCGGCCGTCGGCACTGCATGCCCATCGCCGCCCAGCGTCATGAACCGTGAGTCCGACCCCACTGTCCCCACGCGCCGGGGAATTCAGTCAGGGCCTTGCACGCCAGGCTCAGCCCCTCGTCTCTTTCCTCTGCAGGAAGGAGTCTCTCGCTCCGGTTCCCGCTGCTCCTGCTGCTGCTGCTGTCTCCGCTCCCCGCCCTACCCGCGGACCCTGGGGTGCCCGCACCGGGTAGGCGACTCCTGGGTGCCCACGAGGACCCGGGATCCGGCGCTGTTGGCCTGGTCCATCGCCGAGCTCTCTCCTCCAGAGGGCAGGGCTTCCCCTTTCTACACGCGATGACTGGGAGTGGGGTGTTGAGTCTGTGGATGGGATGGGGGCTCCCTGGAGACCCTCGAGGGCGTGGTCGTGCCTGCGGGCCTGCTAGGGCCTCTCTGGCAGACAGCAGATTGAGATCCCGAGTCTGCAGGGGCCGCAGGGACGGTTCTTCAGGTCTCTCACCTGTCTGCCCTGAGCCTTCCAAGCAGCCTCCTCCCCCAGGAACCCCGCCATTTCCTGTGGGGGCTTCTTGGGGGAGGAAGCCGCAGGCGCCTAGAAGACCGGCAGGCCAACGAGTTCCCTTTCTGTGCCTCTAACTTCTGGTGGACCAATTCTGACTCCCAGCCCTAGTAGAGGAGGTCTCCTTCTGCCCCCCATCCCGTTGGTAGAGATGGGGGACACCAGCCCATATGGGAAGTGAGAGGTGGCATCACATTTATAAGGGGCGGAGGTACTGCTTTTCTCAGGGTTTAAATTTCATCTCTGAGGTCTCCATTGCGCAGATGAGGAAACCAAGGCTTAGTAGGTGGAATGATACCCCCTACTCCTGCCTTCCCCAGTGCATAGTGCATGGTGAGCTCAGGATTTGACGCCTTCAGGACTGTCCAACTACAGGCATTCTGCAAAGTATTTCCCCACCCAGCTACTGGGGAAAATCAGGCCCCCTACAGTTCAGCCCTCCTTCCCTCACTCACGCGGGTACCAGGTACCAGATTCCAGGAAAGAATTCACTCCTCCCCCAGCTCCCCTGTTCTCCAGCCTGGGCAGCTGTGCAACCCATTCCTCTCTGAATCCCTATTTCCTATCTGTAAAATGGAGCCAAGAAAGGTTGGCAGAGGGGAGAGGGGAGACCTCCAGGGGCTTGGGATGAAGAGAGAGAATCAGAGTAGCTTTTCTTGAGGAGAGAGTGTGAGTGAGAAGAATTTGGGGAAGCCTAGGTAAGAAGGGGGTACTGTAGAATGATGGGGTTCAGCAAAAGCCTGGTTTGGGGAAGAAATGGAGGAAAACTTCTGTGGTCCTTATGTTATAGTTTACCAAGGTCAGCAATGTTGGCGCTCACAACAGCCCTGCCAGGGAGATGTGTTAGACCCATTTTATATAAGGGGACGTGGAGGCTCTGAGGAGATGAGTCCACTTGTTGGGGACCCTACAGTAAGCTGGTGGCAGAGCCACCACTGACCATGCTGATCACTGGCCTATGCTGCCAGTCCCAAGATAAGCCCAGCACTCTTCTGAGGCCTTGTCTGACCCTACCCAGGCCCCTGGGTACATAAGGTCTGCCCACCTGTCTTCCTGGCTTGTGGCTCCTGTGGGGGAAAGGGTGGGGTCCAGCTTGGAGGGCAAAGCTCTGCAGGGGAAATCCACAGAGCTCAAGCTCATCCTTCCCAGTCCTTGGGTTTGGCATGATGTCCTCTCCATAGCCAGGGAGAGGGCATGACGTGGTGCTACACTGCGAGCCATGGCCTGAGCTTTGTGCTGATTACATGTGTTGTGGAGGAGTTTTTCTGTTTTGCATTCCCAGTCTTTTTTTATGCCATTCTATGGCTAGAGGGACACAGAGCCTAGAGGAGCTCAGTCTGATGGTGGAGACAGATGCCAACAGATTGTCACACAGGGTGGGGAGGGCCATAGCTAAGGGCAAGTGAATCCCAAGGGTGTCAAGGGCTCAGCAGCTCCCTCTCAGCGTGAGCATTCGGGAGGTTTTTTGCAGGAGGTAGCATTTCTTTCAGCTGGACTATGAAGGCGGTGGGAAGGAGAAACTGACTTTCTGCAGGAGGATCTTTCTTCCAGGAAGCAGTGGTTGAACTGAGGTGTAAGGGTCTGAGCAGCCAGAGGCCAGTCACTGGGAACACAAGGAGCAGGAGAGCCAGACAGGAGTGGAGGAGCAAGGCTTGTGAATGCAAGGCCAGGGTCCTGGGGAGCATGAGATTGAGGATGAGTAGATGACCTGGGGGTGAGACTGGAAGCTGGGAGTTGGGAGGCTCATGCAAACAGGCCAAGGAAAGGACAGAGGACAGGTGGATGCAGGGCTTTGAGCTATGAGTTAACTGAGGCCTAGGCAACTGCCTAGAATCTAAAGCCTATGTTTTACCTCCAGAGGGGACTCAAAGGTGATGAAAAGGCTACAGCCTGCTTTGAGAGCACGTAGCAGGAGGGAACATGGCCTCTGCCTCCTGAGGGGGAGGAGATGGAGTCCAGTTTGGAATACAAGGCTATGCCATGTATCTGTAGTACTCAAGTGCTTTCCTTCCATCCTGTGTTTGGCTGGGTGCCCCTGACAAGAGAGAGGGCATGACCTGGCAAGCTGGCCTGTATGCTAGGCTAAAAGCCTGAGGCCAGCTAACCCCTGCATGTGGGGTGAGACCTGAGCACATGCCAAGACCTCCCTTTTCCTTCCCTGACTGCCTTGTATCTCCAGCCCCAGTTGGGTCTGTGGGCCATGAGGGGGCTTTTTTGCTGTAGGCTGCCGCTTGGGCCTGGCATGGATCCACCTACAGGTGTGGTGTCAGAGCCAGGCCCCGGCCTGGCTGCTCAAACTTGCTTTCCTCTGATTGCCAGGCCCCCAGAGCTTCTCTAAATATTATTCTTAGGGGATTTGGGTGCAGCCTCTTCTCTTCTGCCTGCCGCAGCTGCCTCCACATCCTGGAGGACTTGGTGTTCTCTGGCTGTACCTGTTCCCTGTCATGCTCAGCTTTGAGCCCAGAGCCCTAGCTTTTGGCCTGGGGGACATCCTATTCAAATCCACGGACAAGTTCTAGATCGAGGAGATGCTAGGTAGTGGTTATCCGTGGGAATGTAGGCTGGCTTTGGCCTTCGGGTCTATGTGTCTTGAAAGCACTGTGGGTGTTCATTGCCCTGCCTCATGGGCCCCAAGCACCCAGTGAGAGCAGTTGCAGAGTTCTCTGCTGAGGGCTGGGGAATCTCAATGATGGGAAGAACTGAGAGGGCTAGCTTGGCTTCCTCCAGAGTAGAGAAGTAGGGAGCAGGGAGTTGGATGCAAGGCATCCTTTGAGCTGCTGCTCTACCTGGGATAGACAGGAAAGCAAGGTCCTTAGAGTGGAAGGGGCTTGCTCAAGGGCACAGCCAGGGGAGAGAGAATACCACTTCCGAATTCATCTTTCCTGTGCTTCTCCATGGTGGCTGACCTGTGCTGAGTGTGGGTCACTCAAAGTAAATGAGACTGGTGCCTGTACTTTTCTTGAGGATCCCTCATTCTGCATGGTATCAGTAGAGGGGTGTCCTTTGCTGAGCACAGAATGGGGTTGGCATGAAATCACGCAGAATTGAAGTTAGACTGAAGGGAGACCTTCCTATAGGAATAGCTTCTGGAGGCCTGGTTGTGGTAAGAGATGGTGATCTCATATCATGGTGGGAATTTCATTCCCTTGGGGTTTTCCAAGTTCATCTTGAAGAAAGAGCAGCAAAATTGTGACACTGGGGGTCATTCTTAGCGTTTGGATCAGAATGACCCCTTTACCATCCCTGCCCTAGATCCAAGTCAGGATCCCTCCAGGAGGAGGCAGGTAGGGAAAGATGAAGGGGGTTCAAGTTTCCCTTCTGCAGCTTGGGCAAACCCTCCTGCCTTTTCTAAGCTTGAGTCCTCACCTTGCAATGGGAGGCTCAGCCACCCTCCTAAGGAGTGCTGAGAAGACAAGTGAGCCCTAGGGATGTGAGGTCACAGACAAGGTCAGCAACAGCCGCAGCTCCTTCAGTCTGACCACCACAGTCAGCATGGTCAAGAGGCACCCAGTCTCCTCTCTGCCCACCCTGACACCCTGGGGCTTCTTTGGCTGTTGTCCTTGCCTAAGAGATTTTTCCTGTCTTGGGGCAGCTGGTGTTTATGGAAAGAGAGTGAGGGAGGCGGGAGGGAAAGCTGGCTGTGGTCTGGTTGGGAGGGAGGGCCCTCTTTTGGCAGGGATGGGGCATGGGCAGGCAGCAGCTCTGGTCATTTGGGGCAGGACTCCTACAAGGAGACTTTGCAGCTAGCCTCAGAGGGCATCTGGGAGGATGTGAGTGACCAGCCTCCTCACATCATTTTATTTGTTCCACAGATATTTGTTAAGTTCTGGCCACCACATAGCTCCCTGAGTGCCTGGGTCTCCCTAGGACCTGGGCTGAGCCCAGGCTGTGAGCCCAGTCCATGTGAGGGAAGGTGTGGCCCTTTCTCAGGGGGGAGACTGGACAGCAGGAGGGAGAGTAGGAGGATTTAAGAGTGAGGACTTGTGGGGAGCCTTGGGGGGGTACAGAACTGGATTCCTTGTGGGGGGGGGTCAGGAGTGTTGGGCAATGTATGAAGGAACAGCATAGTCTAGCTGTACTTTGAACTTTGTGGGTGAGGGAAGGGGTGCCACAGCCTCTTTAAGCATCTAGTACCTCATGAGACTCCTGCTGAGGTAGAGATGGGGAACTGGAGCCCAGAGGAGGCCTGGGTCTTCCCTTTGTGCCCACTGAGTGGTAGGCTTGAACCACTGCTGTGATAGGGTCTTGGACCAGAATTGGGGGCTGGGGTTGTGGTAGGTGAATTGGTCTTGAGAGATGGATGAACAGAATAGCCTGATCTCTGGAGGCTGGAGGGTGGATCCTGAACCACTTTGGTCTTTCTAGGATTGTGGCTGGCTGGAGGAGGATGGTGGAGGGGGAGGGGTGGCTAGGGTCCTGTTAGGTCCTCTCCCTGTGGCTTGTCTTCCAGGTCTGCCTGTGGCAGTTTGATAAGGCCTTTTTGTCCAGCCTTCTTCCCCTTGGGCTCCTCTATATCCCTGCCAGAAACCACACAGATGTCATTGTGAGGTTGTGGGGCCTCATCAGGGCTTAAGCAAAACTATTTGCATGATCCTTATGACCTTTGTTTATGTGGTGGTTCTGGGGCCTCTGGAGATGGGTAAGAAAATGCTGCTTCACCTCCACAGTGAGGTGAAGAATGACTGGAGAGGCAGGACTTGCTCAGGGTCAGGCCCTCCAGTGTTGGCCTTTGTGATGACTGACTGGTTTATGCCAGGCTGCTCTGATGTTTGGTCACCCTCTTGACCCCTAAATCATATTACATACAATGTAAAAGCTGCCTGTGATGTTGGCTCCATGCTGGGAAAAGAAGCATTTGTAATAGATTCTGGCATTTTCTGTGGAAGACCCAAGTGCTTCCAGCCAAGAGCTAGGAGTCCTGGATCTGCCTAGCTTTGCTCTGTGTTCTTGGCCAAGTCCCCACCTCTCCATGAGCCTCAGTTTCCCTTGTTGAGTAGTGTGTGAAGGAGGGACTGGACTTGGATGAACTGAATGTCTAACCAGATGCTGAAGGCCATGGATATTGAGCAAGAGGGTAGCGGTCGGAGGGGTGGGGGTCAGACACAGAGGGACTTCCTTGTTGGGGGCTCCACATGGGGAGAGAGGACAGAAATTACATACCATCTTAGGATATTTTTTGAGCCAGGCTTCTCTTGTTTGCTTAGCACATTACTTTCTTAAGGATCTTAGAGACCCCACACTCATTTGGGGCAAGTCTGGCCTTTCAGGGCAGCTGAGACCCTTGGTGCTCCCCTTCCTTCTTGCCACTTGCACATTATCTCCAGGGTTCTGGAAAACCTTTTTCCTAGCATAGATTGTTGAGCCTGGGGAGGAGGGGTATAGGGGAAGTAGAGGGATGGACACTTGGTCTGATGTTATCATTGCCTGGTGACCTATCTGTTCTCCCCTTTTCTGCCTCAGTTTTCCAATCTGCAAAGGACTGATGAGATCGTATAGTCCTTCCCTCCTGCAGAAATGGAGAGTGTTGGCAGATCCTATTTGCCTAGTGTCCAAGTGCTTAGAACATGGAGCTATGGAGTTGAACTGGGATCACCTCCTCCCCTGGACTGCTTCCCCTACTTCTGAAGCCCACAAACCTGCCTTTGAAGCTGGGCTTTGACTTTAGGAAGCCCATAGCCCATAGCTCAGTGTCTTATTGGCTGGTTCCTAGCTTCGGTGTCAACAGCTTGGGCCTGCACTTTTCCCCCTGTCCCTGCTTTTGGTGGCAGCAGGGAGCAACAGGGACTTTCCCTTGGGGCTCAGTGTAGGCCAGGCTTGAGGTCCAGGGCAGGGCCAGGAAATGGCAGGGGTGAGATTTATGCCTATGGATGCAGGGCTAGGGTTGGCTTGAGAGAGGTCCCCAGCCTCTGGCCCCTCTCTCCATCCTCAGGAACTGGGTAGGGTCAGAAGGCGGCTTGAGGGGGGCTGTCTCTGATACCTGTTTCTCACCCACAGTCAATCCCTGTTGTTACTATCCGTGTCAGAACCAGGGCATCTGTGTCCGCTTTGGCCTTGACCGCTACCAGTGTGATTGTACCCGCACGGGCTACTCCGGCCCCAACTGTACCATCCGTGAGCCTTGCCTCCTGTGTCTTCTCTGGGGCCCTCCTGATCCCTTGGATCCTCCTCCAGACCCTACCTCCTGCCCTCCTCTCTGGCCATGGCCCCTTTTCCCGCCTTGTCTGGCTCTGACCACACCTTGACCTGGCTCATCTGAGCTTTTTCTCCAGGTCCACCCCCACTCTTCTTCCCATGCTCCCCATCCCCTGTCCTTATTTTGGGTCCTGGCTTTTTGACATGTCATCACTCCCAAGGGTGCCTCCTGTGGACCTCTGCCTGGTCCCAATCTTCCCACCTTGGGAGCGCTGGTCTTGCTAGGAGGGCCAGACTGAGTGGCTCCTGCCATCTCTGCAGCTGATCTCTGGACCTGGCTCCGGAATTCCCTGCGGCCCAGCCCCTCCTTTGTCCACTTCCTGCTAACACACGGGAGCTGGTTCTGGGAGTTTGTGAATGCCACCTTCATCAGAGAAACACTCATGCGCCTGGTACTCACAGGTGGGTGTGGGGCAGGCCCCCTCTAATCCTGAAATGGGGGCGGCAAGAAATGCTGCCAGTTCTTGGGATTCTTGGCATCTGATAAAGGCGGTGGGTGGGGAGACTCCATCCCAGATGAAACAAACCCCAACTCAGGAGGAGGCAGGGGACGGCAGTGTAACCGGGGTGGGAACAGCTGTGTCACTATTACTTTGCTCTGCAGTGCGATCCAACCTTATCCCCAGCCCCCCGACCTACAACTTAGCACACGACTACGTCAGTTGGGAGTCCTTCTCCAATGTGAGCTATTATACTCGTGTTCTGCCCTCGGTTCCCAAAGACTGTCCCACGCCCATGGGGACCAAAGGTAAGGAGCTTGGGTGAAGAGCTGGCCTGGGGATCACCTGAGATGCTTTGTTCTCTTCAGGCAAAAAGCAGGCAGAAGAGCAATTACAGATCCATTTCACAGATGGGTGGACCAAGGCAGGACAGCTGACATGTCTAGGTCCAAAGAAAGGACAGTGAAAGATCTTGTCTAAGGTCACAGGGAAAGTCAGAGACAGAGCTGAGTGTGGTGGTAAATGCCTGTATTCCCAGTACTGAGGCTGAGGCAGGAGGATCTCAAGTTTGAGGCCCACTTGGGCTGTATAAGGAGACAGTGTCTCTAAAACAAAACCAAGACGAGAAGGAAGAGAGGGAATGGAAGGAAGGGAGTGAAGGAGGAAAGGGAGGGAGGGAAGGAAGAAGGGAAGCAAGGGAGGCCAGGAGGGAGGGGCAGAGAGGCAGAGGCTGACTAGTGTTCCCATGGAATTTCCAGGGTGCCTCTCTATTTGATCCCTGTCTGCTGATGAGGGGGATTCTGCTGGGCAGAAGTGACTTGAAACTATTGGAAGGAATAGCGTGCTGTGTATTGGGTGCTAACTTGGTGTCTGGTTCTTGACTACTACAGTTTCCCATGTTCCATTCTGGTAGGGTATAAAGGTCACATTTTTTTCTCCAGTTGCCCAAAACCCCTTTGGCCTCCTGGATATAGGCATTCCTGCTAAAGCCTACTTCTTACTCTACCTGTAAGTGCCCAGAAACCTGTGGGGTTCATAAATCCACTCATCTTCAAAAAGAACAAGAGAGGCTTACCGGTTGCCACTTTAGTTCCTGCCTCATGGTATTGCTGTTGGACATTGTTCCTGTGCAGTCTAGTGGTTGTGCCCCTGCAGGTTCTGAAGCTTGTGATGTCCCTGCTTGGATCTCCAGTGCTATAGTGATGGTCTGAGCTCACATGGTTAGCTATTATTCCCAAAGCATGGCCATCACTGCCATCATAGCTGATTCTCTCCAATACTGCAGGAATCAACCCTTCCCCAATGTCACTGAGCAATGATTCCACATTGTAGGGTACAGACTGCTCCCTCTACTTTCTTTTGGGGTGCTTGATGTTACTTTCTTCCAGAGGAATCCACTTGGCCATGTCAATCCAAGTAGTTTCCATTGACCTTGAGTGTTCAACATTGGGCCTCACATGAGATGTGATGAAAGGAAACCTTTATCAGAACACAGAAAGTCCTATTTCCCCTCTCTGGGAGGGTACTGGACACCAAATTAAGACATAATTAAGGGAGATGTTCCACCACTTAAAAAATTCATTTATTTATTTTTGTGTGTATTAGTGTTTTGTCTGCATGTATATAAATGCACCCAAGTGCACACATGCCCACAGAGGCCAGAAGAGGGTGTCAGATTCTCTGGAACTAGAGTTATGGATGGTTGTTAACTGCCATGTGGGTGCTGGAAGAGCAGTCAGTGCTCAACTGCTAAGCCATCTCTTCAGTCCCTGGGTCTATAATACTAACATTTTTTTCTTTTTATTATGGAAAAGTTGCAAATGTACATAAAAATTGAGAGGAAGGAATAGAGAACCATGTTCCCATGTTCCAGTTTCAACATGCACACAATTTGCCAACCTTATTTACTTCTTTGTCTATCCTGTTTTATTTTCTAATGGAGGATTCTTGTTGTTATTAAAAATTGATTGTGTGTGTGTGTGTGTGTGTGTGTCAGAGAGAGAGAGAGAGAGAGAGAGAGAGAGAGAGGGAGAGAGAGAGAATATGTATATGGGTATGCACATGCTACACCCAGCCTGTGTGTAGAGGTCCAAGGACAGCTTTATGGAGTCTGTTCTATCCTTCCATGTTTATCTGGGTTCTGGGGTTTGATTTCAGGCTGTCAGACTTTTGTGGTAAGCACTTTTACCCACTGAGCCATCTCACTGACCTATTATCATTTTGAGATGTGGTCCCTCTATGTAGCCCGTGTCCTTTTCAGTGCTGGGATAATAGGTGTGTACTACCACGCCTGATTTTAGTGGAGTATTTTAAAGCAAATTCCAAATATTATGTGATTTTCATGGCAAATCCTTCAAGGTCTTTTGGTAGAGTAGGTTACAGGGGCTCTCTGTGGGGTAGAAGGGTGGCCCTGAGGAGGATGCTCTGGGCTTCTTGCTTGGGCTAGTTTGTCTGTCCCCAGAGCAGAGAGACAGACAGGATCTAGGCCTCTACTGCTCTTTTCTACCCCCCCACCCCCCGCCAGGGAAGAAGCAGCTGCCAGATGTCCAGCTCCTGGCCCAACGATTACTGCTTAGGAGGAAGTTCATCCCTGCCCCCCAGGGGACCAACCTCTTGTTTGCCTTCTTTGCACAACACTTCACACACCAGTTCTTTAAAACTTCTGGAAAGATGGGTCCTGGCTTTACCAAGGCCTTGGGCCATGGGGTAAGTACCTAGAAGAGGACCTCATGGGCCACATGCAGACAGTCACCAGTGGAACAGAGTCCAGGTGATCTGAGTGGGCTTCTCTCTGTCCTCAGGTAGATCTTGGTCACATTTATGGCGATAATCTGGAACGTCAATACCACCTAAGGCTCTTTAAGGATGGGAAACTCAAGTACCAGGTAGTGCTGGACCTGGGGGTGGGGCAGTGGAAGGGTCCTTCCTTGTTCTTTCTGTCAAAGGTGGCTGGGTAGGGGAATGGAACAGCCACAGGAGTGGGGATGTACCCAGGAGGACAGAAGGTGGCAGCACAAGAGACGAATGAGGAGCCGGCAAGGCCTCCATGTCCTCCTGGGAGGTGGCTCTGGAGCGCCACAGGAGGGACATTCCCACTCCCAAGCTGCTGTCATTGGTTTATTTGTTTCCACATTGTGGGTTGGGCACCATGATGCAACTTGTACAGGTGGATTGAGCAGTATCCATCAGAGCTGTGGGCCCTGCCCTCAAGGAACCACTGTCCGTCAGGGCCCACAGACCTAAATGCCAGGATGTGGACTCCATGAGGACTTCTTGATTAAACCTGCTCTGTACAACAGAAATATAATGTGAGCCACGTATGCAATTCCCATTTTCTAGTGGTCATGTTAACAAAGGAAAAAAGAAACAGATGGGATGGGTTTTAATAATATACTTTATTTAGGCTAGTGAGAAGGCTTAGCCAGTAAAGGCACTTATGTCAAGCCTGGGACCCACTGGTGGAAGGAGAAAACATACTCCTGCAAGTTGTCTTCTGACCTCCACACACGTACTGTGGCATGAGTGTATCCCCCCCCAATAAATAAATGCAAAGGTTTAAAGGTTTTCATTGGAGGTTGCTAGGCTATATTTAAATTTCATAAAATTTATAATTGGATGAGCAGATTCATACACTCGAGTTCTGAATATTTTCCCAATAGCTGAAACATCAGCTTTAAAATTTAAATGTAAGTAAAATCTAAATGAAATTAAATGGAGGTCTTCACACTAGTTAAATTTCTAGCGCTTGGTGGCTACATGTGGCTAGTGGCTATCATATACTGGTTTGCACAAATCTGAACAAACGAAATGGCAAGTTTGTGGCTGAATTATGAAAGGGCTAAGAACAGGACTCTGCATATAGTTTGAGTGTATTTAATGAATGGCTGAAGAAACCACCACATACCTAGTGGCTTTTTTGTGATAACCAAGCAGGAGCTGTTGGAGCCATTAAAGTGACTTGAGGCTTTAGTCTTCTTCCTCAGGAAGCAGCAGAGTTGCATGAAAAAGGAACAGTTAGGGCTGGTCAGAAGGAAAAAGGCTTGCTAGTGCCATGGGGGAGGAGGGTGTCTGTCTGGGGTTGGGGGCTGGGAATAGGGGGGTGTGCAAAGGCTTTGAGGCAGGAAGCAGTTGGGGTGTCTTGAGGAGAGGGTAACAATGACTGTGGGCCCCCAGGGCCTAGTTAGTGAAGGTAAGAGTGGTTCCAGGTGAGGGTGGAGGCCTCTTGCAGGGGGAGTGTAAGACTTGATTTCTGCTAAGAGCAGGGAAGGAAGAATTTCAAGCTAGACAAACTAGTATGTGGATACTAGATTTGAGTGTTTTTTAAAAAATAGTTTAATTGAACTTTTAAAATTTCATACATTTCCCACTCAAATCCAGACCCCTCCCCATTCATGCCCCCATTCCCCCAGACCAAACCCTATGCACTCTGCCATACATGCTGAGTCCTGTTCATTCAGGTGTTTGTACCCAAATGTCCTTCAGTGTAAATATGTCCACTGTCATATAGTCAGCCCATCCAAAGGGGTGTGCTTGTTGCTGTGTACCCAAAAGGATGTCTGTGGGCAAGAGTTGGATTAGGGAGGCGCTTGGGGAGCAAGAGGTGGTGGACTGGGCCAGAGGGATCTCTGGAGGAAGGTGGCGGGAGTCAGACGCGGGTGCCGTGCCCACTCCTCAGTTGCCCGGCGGCTCCATTCCACAGGTGCTGGACGGAGAGGTGTACCCACCGTCAGTGCTGCAGGCGCCGGTGTTGATGCGCTACCCACCGGGTGTCCCTCGTGAGAAGCAGATGGCCATGGGCCAGGAAGTGTTCGGGCTGCTTCCGGGGCTGGTCCTCATGTCCACTGTATGGGTCCGAGAGCACAACCGGGTGTGTGACCTGCTGAAGGCAGAGCACCCCACCTGGGACGATGAACAGCTCTTCCAGACCACTCGCCTCATTCTCATAGGTGAGCCCACATCTCGAGACCCAGGAAGGCTGGGTTAGGACCCCGGTGTTGCTACACTTAGGGGGTCACAGCCTGTGCCCCAAGCCAGGTTTGGCTTCCTGTTCTCAATAAGCCAATTCAGACAAATTAATAGTGGAAAGCAGAAGAAGGGGATTTATTCAATGTGGCCACATTGAAAGAGGGACTCTGCTGGGGCTTGACCTCAGGCAGAGCTTCAAACCTTGAGACGCCTAGTGGGAAGACTCCAGGCACATAGTAGGCCTTCAGAAAAGGGGAGATGGAGATGGTTCATTACTAGCTTATGACTCACAGCACATTTGATTGGCTGCCTTGAATTCCCATTTCCCTCTTGTGTTGCACAGGTTTGGCACTAAGGTCCCCAGTACACTGGGGTCAAGTCCCAGCCTGCCCCACCCTCAAGAACCCTCCCATTTCCCCTCTCGTTGGCCATCTGCCTTCATGGAGTTTGGTAGCTTTCAGGTGACTCAGGGACAAGATATTTTTGAGTCCCCTACAGGGGTGGGTCTGCAACCTAAAATGTCAGATGGTTTCCTGCCTGGGAGCTTGAACCCTGACACCTCTGTCCAGACCGTGTTCTGTGTGACTCATCACCTCTGGGCACCACTGGGTACAGCTGGTCTCAATTATAGTGTCTAATTCACTGGAGCTTGGGAGAGCCAGGCACCAGGGATGAGAATAGCCTGAAGGAGGTGGAGAGGCTGAGCCTGGTTCTGATTCTTATCTGAGCATTGCACAGACCTCGATCAGAGAGGCCCAGTCTGTGGCTAGAGGCTGCCCAGCACACTAGCTGGAGACAAAGCTGTGACAAAAATGAGGAATCCTAGAGCAGAGGACATCCAGCCCTTTATTGAACTCTGCAGCTTTGTGGACTGAGTATAATTACGCTGTGCAAGTTAAGATTCAGAGAAGTTAAGTGAATTTTCCAGGGAGACTCAGCAGAGGGAGGCTTGGATTGTGTCTAGATACCACCAAAGCTCATTCTGCTGCCATCCCATCGTCAGGGGCTCTTTCCTGAGTGGGCACCTGATCTTTTGTGATGTAGGAGTACGTGGGGGCATTGACCAGCTATTATGCCTATACTTGGAGCTCCTACTTCTAGCCAGCCTGTGTTGACACTGCCAGCTCTGTGCCAACATGTGGATGTGTCTGCTGTCTACTGTTCACGTGGCCCGATGCATTTTTGTTACACGGATATTAATAGAACACAGTTTACAGTTCAGGAAAGTGAGCCTCAGGGAGATTAACTCAGCTCAAACTCAGAGGCCTACAAACTGAGAAGCTAGGATTTGTGCCCAGATCTGCTAGTTCCAAATTATGCAGTTGCAGGTCAGTTTACTGAACAGGCAATTTGTCTTATGGCTTATTGATCCAGAAATCAGTTTCCTTTAACTATCCTGTTGGCCACTTTTCAAATCGTTATGTAGTGTTCAATTTGCTTCCTGATTGTTTGCTTTGTATATATCTGGTTTCTGAGGGACCAAAGGAAAACTCTGCCCATGACATTCTTATGTATGACAACACCCGAGAAACATGCTTTAAAAAAAAATACTTAGTGCTGGGCTCACCTGCTGTCCTCCACTTCTTTTGGCTATAGCAGAAACTCTCAGATGGTCTCTTTGAAGCCCCCCCCCCCCCACTGAGGTTTCAGAGAAATCGCAGCCCTCACTAAGTCACCCTCCTGTTTTTCTATCTTTCAGGGTTTCTCCAGCCTTTTTGTTATAGAGACAAAGTCTTTCCATGTAGGCTCATCTGGCATCTAATATGCAGTCCTCCTGCCTTAGCCTCCTAAGTGCTAGAATTACAGGCTTGTGTCGCTTCTCCAGTCTCTTTTCATGGTCTGTAGGAGAGAGGTTGTCCTTTGGAGCAGTGGTCCTCTTGTTTGCGGACCTCAGTCAAATCTGTCAGTTCTGTTTTCACATCCCGTTACAAGGAGACAAAGTGGAAGTGGCCAAGTAACACCAAGGAGACAAAAGCAAACGAGCTAGCCTGCTTCCCACGCTTGATGGCCATGTCACTGCACTGTGCTGATGCCATTTCCAATCTTCCCCACACAGGGGAGACCATCAAGATCATCATTGAGGAGTATGTGCAGCATTTGAGTGGCTACTTCTTGCAGCTCAAGTTTGACCCAGAGCTGCTGTTCAGAGTCCAGTTCCAGTACCGCAATCGCATTGCCATTGAGTTCAACCATCTTTACCACTGGCACCCGCTCATGCCTGACTCCTTCAAAGTGGGCTCACGAGAGTACAGCTATGAGCAGTTCTTGTTCAACACCTCCATGTTGGTGGACTATGGTGTTGAGGCCCTGGTGGATGCTTTCTCTCGCCAGAGGGCTGGCCGGGTAAGCTTCAGAGGAGTGGAGGTCAGCAGGGGTGGGCTCCGGGATCCAGCAGACTTGGTTCAAACCCTGGTTTTTTCATTTGTGGAATGGGCATAATGTCACTTCCACAGGGTGGTTGTAAATATCCCTTTGTGAGTTCTCTTGTTTATGTGATAATAGCAGGTCCCATCAGTTTCTCTCATGTTATAGTAATTAAAAAACCTGGGTGGGGGGACCCATGAGAGGAAGGATCAATTTTGGCTTACAGTTTCAGAAGGATTTCAGTGTATCATAGTAAGGAAGCCATGACAGAATGGCTCTGTTTGTGGTGTCAGAGTATGAGGCAGAGGCTGTTTGCATCATACGGCAAGAAATAAAGTGAGACTGGAACTGGAGGCTGAGCTATCGCCTTCAAAGACTGGCTTCTAGTGACCTGTTTCCTCTAGCTGGGCCCCACCTCTCCAAACAATGCCACCATCTGTGCAGAAAGTGTTTAAAACACAAACATATGGGGTACATTTCATATTCAAACTGTAACACAGGCATCACTCCAGGAGCTTGAGATATGGTGGTGAGCAAGATTGACGTGGTTCTTGGCACTCACACCATGGAAGGGTAACAGTCACATGACAGCTAGCATCATCTAGCACTTACTGTGTATGTAGGACTGTGACAAGTGATTTTCTGATGTTCTCAGAATTCTAAGAGCATGTTGGGAACCACAGTACAAAAACCACAGTGGTGGCCCGGAGGTGGGTGTTAGGGGTAAGGAAGTGACTGAGTGGAGATGGAAGAGAGGGACAGGCATTTCTCATAAAGAGAGGTAGTTGTTGGTGACAGGTCATGATTGCGTTCTAGATGGAGAGGACAGTCTGGGTAAAGGCCTGGGGTGTTGGAGGGGATAGCATTTGAGGGGCATGGGGCCCCTAGGGTATGGTAATATACATGGAATGCTTATATGGTATGTTTTTTGATTTCATCTGAATTGTGTCTTCCTTCAAATTTATATGCTACACCCCTAACCCCCAGTACCTCAGAATATAACTGCATTTGGAGACAATATCTTTAAAGAGATATTTAAGACTAAATAAGAAATTAGAACCAGCCAATCTGATTGGTGTCCTTATAAGAAGAAGAGATTAAGACGGACTCACCCAGAAGACCACATGAAGACACAGGGAGAACATCACCATGTATAAGCTGAGAGAGATCTTAGAAGAAACTAAGCTTACTGATACCCTAGCCTACATACTATGAAGGAGTAAGTTTCTGTTGTTTAAGGCACCTAGTTTGTAGCATTTTGTTGTAGTAGCCCTGAATACATTTTCTTAGAGCTCTTACCAAACTCCCTCTGAACTCTCTCATTCCCTAGAGTTGCAAGTTCCAGCTCTCTGGACCCCTCATCGCCACTTCAACCCACTCTTCTGTAATCCTTGTCCTGCAGCCCTGCTAGGATGTTGTGACACTTAACAGATTTAGATTTCCTTCTGATAACTTGACAGCCATTAGCATTTGCTGCCACCAGCATCTGCTGGTAGATTCATGCCACTTCTGCTCTGTGGGGGCACAGGCATGAGCAGAGGTAGCAGCCTTTTTGTGCAGCTGTATGAGTATTTTTCAAATGTCTGTGATGATGTGTGGAAGGCCTGGGTGTTGAATCTGGCAGAAGCTAGAAAGGCCACAGAAGTGTGTTGACTCTTAGGATAGTAAAAATCAATCCGAGGGCTGGAGAGATGGTTCAGCAGTTAAGAACACTGACTGCTCTTGCAGAGACCTGGGTTCGATTTCCAGTGCCCACATGGTGGCTAACAACCATTTGTAACTCCAGTTCCAAGGGGATCTGATGTCCTCTTCTGACCTTCTCGGGCATTGCATGACATGGGTACACTTACACACATGCAGGCAATATACTCAAACACATAAAATAAAAATAAAATATTTAAAAAAATCTTTAAAAAAGACCACGAGAAGGGACATAGAAGGGCTTTCTCTGGTAATCACCTTCTATGGCTACTGTCTGGGCTTGTTGCCATGTGACAAGCCCAGTGACAACCGTTTTGCATCCTTCATTTGTTTTATCACAAAAGTATCAGGTAGACGCCTTCTCCATTTTTGCATGGGAGGAAATACAAATAGTCCCATTATCTTCTCAATGGCCTTGTGTTTATTTACTAGGGTTGCCTTAACCAAGTACTACAAAGTGGGTGGCTTAAGATAATAGAGACTTCTTTTTCTACTGTACTGGAGGCTAGAAGTCCGAAATGAAGGTACCAACGACCATACTTTCTCTGAGGGCTCTGGACAGCCTCTTGTTCCATGCTTTTCTCTAAGGTTCTGCTAGGGGTTGACAGGTCTTGGTATTCCTTGGCTTGTAGATGCCACTGCATTCTGTCTCTATTGTCTTGTCACATGGTGTCTTCCCTGTGTCTCTAGTCTCATTTAAAAGGGCACCAGCTAAACTGGGCATGGTGGCACATTCCTGTAATCCAGCACTTGTGAGGTAGAGGCAGGAGAATCAGGAGTTCAAGGTCATCATCAGCTACATAGCTAGTTTCAGGCCAGAGTGGGTTACGTGAGATCCTGTCTCAAAACAAAAACAAACAAAAAGAACATCATTTATTGGATTAGGATCTTCCCTAATTGACTATGACTTCCTTTTGACTATACCAATGAAGACTGTATAGTTCTCTTATCCATAGGGAACACATTCTAAGACTTCTCAATGGATGTCTGAAATGGTAGAAAGTACCAAAGTTTTTTCTATAGATACACACCCATGGTAAAGTTTAACTTATAAATTAGGCACAGTAAGAGACATAATGATAGTAAAATTGAATATGTTTAACAATATTTTGTAATGAAAGTATATGAATGTGGTCTCTCTCTCTCTCTCTCTCTCTCTCTCTCTCTCAAAATGCTTTTGTACTGTTCTCATACTTCTTGGATGGGATCATGTGGGTTGATACCATGTCTGTGTGAGTGGTTGGGGTGAGATGAGTGACACAAGTGTATGATAAAGGTTAGTTTACTACATAAAGGTTATGTAGTAACCTAACTTGAACATAGCACTCTGATATCATGACAGTTGATCTGATAACCAAGACAGATGCCAAGTGACTGACAATGTGGACATTCTGGACAAAGGGATGATTCACATCCCGGGCAGGATTCAGTAGGACCTCATTAGATTTCATCATGCTACAATGAACAGCATGTAATTTAAAAGTTACAAATTGTTTATTTCTGGAATTTTCCATTAAATATTATCAGACTGTCATTGCCTGCGGGTAACTGAAACCATGGGAAACTAAACTAAGGTAAGGCTACTATATTTCTAACTGAGGTCGTATTTGCAGGTTAAAACTTCAGTGCATCTTTTTGGGGAGACACTTCAACCCAAACAACACCACAGCTTGTAGTGGGTAGAGCCAGGGTTGGAACCAGTCTCTGCTTGTTGTTCCAAGTTTGCTTTGCTCCAAGCTGTCTGATTTCATTCAGCTGTTTTTTTCCTACCCAATTATACATGTTCTGTCAAAACAGATTTCTGTCTTAAGCATTAACTTTATTATTTCAAGAGAAATAGCACTTCTTTTATACTAATGCTCCTTAATTTTTATGAATTGAAATATTTTTGTGGAGTGTGTGTGTGTGTGTGTGTGTGTGTGTGTGTGTGTAGCTTTGCATATGGGTGTTGTTTCTCAGGAACTATCCACTTTGCTTTTGAGACAGGGTCTTTCTCTTTGGTTTGTAGCTTGCCAAGTAGGCTAAGCTGGCTGGCCAGGAATTCCCAGGAATCTGGAGTCTTTTTTTTTCTTCCCCTTACCAGGTTACCTGGGCTTTGAACCCTCTTTTCTTTTTTCTTTTTATATTTTTGAGACAGAGTCTCTCTGTAGCCCCAGCTGGCCTGGAACTCGCTATGTAGACCAGGCTGGCCTGGAACCCTGAGATCTGCCTGCTTCTGCCTCCCAAGTGCTGGGATTAAAGGTGTGTACCACCACCCCTGGCTTGAACCCTCTTTTCACTCAGGATGACACTACTGGTTGGTGTGACTCAAAGGATTTCAAGCCACCAGAGATGTCCTTTCAGATCACTGCACCCTTCAGTGTTGAGGAAGCTGGGCCTCTGGGTGACCATGGTGTGGCAGACCTAGGGACAGACCCCATCATCATGACTGCTGGGCTGTACTACATTCTCTTCTTCTGGTTCAGATAGGACTCATGGCTTGAAGCTCTCTTAGGACTTTATACAGGCTCCAAGGCAGTCTGTAACTGGCTCCCAGCTTGACAGCTGTGCTTATTTCTTGGCAGATTGGTGGTGGCAGGAACTTTGATCACCATGTGCTGCACGTGGCCATAGAGATCATCAAAGAGGCCCGAGAGATGCGGTTACAGCCCTTCAATGAGTACCGCAAGAGGTTTGGCATGAAGCCCTACACCTCTTTCCAGGAGCTCACAGGTGGGCAGCTGCTTCCTAGACATAGTCTCTGCCCTGGAGGGATGCACAGTAAATCGAGGGAGAGACCAAGGGGAGAGAATGGGACAATACAGGTGGCCATCACAGTGACCGTGAGCATCATAAGGGAAGGGGTGAATGTGACAACAATCCACTTGAGGAGAGAAGGTGACGCCTTCCAGGAGGGCTGACAGTTTTCCAGGCAGAGAATCAGAGGAACACTTTAGGTAGGGCAAGGAAGGACACAAAGGCACAGAGCTGAGTAGTAGATGCCCATTTGGGAGATCAGTCACATATGTGGCTGGAGGAAGGGCTTGCTTGTCTTGGAGATGTCTTAGGTAGTGGAGGGAGATTGGCACCAAATTATTGGGTAGAATCTTGAATTTCATGCTGAATGCTGAATGTTTTGGGTTATATCCTGGGCTTTGAATCCCCTTTTGGGTCTAGTCATTCATAAATACTCATTTTTGGGCTGGCTGCATCTTTCCCTTAGAAAGATGATTAAGATACCAAGTCTAGTTGGGATGTAGCCCAGTGGTAAAGAACATGCTTAGTATGCTTGAGGCCCTGACTTTAATCCCCTTGACAAGATAAAACAAAAAACAACACAAAACAACACTCCACACATACAAAAATCTCTCAATTCTTAGATACCTCTCCTGGAGATCATGATTCAGTACATCTGTGTGGTGCTCAAGAGTCTCTACACACACACACACACACACACACACACACACACACACACACACACACTTTTCCCTCCAAGACTCTCAGCTATTAGGCAACCAGGTTGGAGCCTTTCCATCACTGGTATGGCAGACCCCTGTGTAGTGCCTGGTGGGGCACTACAAAGTAATCTTTGTCATCCCTTAATCTCTTATGAAAATGGTCCAGAGGGATAGTGTAAACTGCCATTAAATACCTGTGTGAACTTGGACATGCACATCCTTGGCTCTATGGTAATAAAGGGGCTGGAATGAAGATAAGGTCTTGAAATCTGTCTTGAGGGAAGCAAGATAGGCAGCCTTCTCAGTATTGTGATGGTCTTGGAATTAGGCCAAGACCAAGATGAGTAGCTGGAGCTCATAAGTTGTCTGGGACAGATCTAGACCCTTGAACTTTTTTTCTATCAGTACCACAGTCTCTCTTTGGACTCAGTCCAGATTGTGCTTTCCTTCCTGATCCTTTTCTCAATGTTCAGTTGTCCACATTGTTCTTTTGGAGTTCCTATTATCCCTAGAAAAACCTGCATCTAGAAGGTTCCTTCCCTAGAATGACCTTGAGGAAACCATGGCTCTCACTGTGGTGTCTTCCTTTGCAGGAGAGAAGGAGATGGCTGCTGAGTTGGAGGAGCTGTATGGAGACATCGACGCATTGGAGTTCTATCCTGGGTTGCTTCTTGAAAAGTGCCAGCCTAACTCCATCTTTGGGGAGAGTATGATAGAGATTGGGGCTCCCTTTTCCCTCAAGGGTCTCCTAGGGAATCCCATCTGCTCTCCAGAGTACTGGAAGCCCAGCACTTTCGGTGGTGAGATGGGATTCAATCTTGTCAACACAGCCTCGCTGAAGAAACTGATCTGTCTCAACACCAAGACCTGCCCCTATGTTTCCTTCCAAGTGCCAGACTTGAGTGCAGACAATGGGCCTGATGTAGAGCGACCATCCACAGAGCTCTGAGGATGCAGCAAGCAGCATTTTGGAGGGAAGAGCTTTGTGCTTGTCCTTCTAGGACACAGGCTGAAGAAGATAGCCTTTAACATCGATTTTCTGGCTTGGCAGTGTGAGGGTTGGCACTGACATTTAGAACTTTGGGTCTCACGTTTGTCTGGAATATTGTGACATTTGCCATTCTAGAATGCTGAATTCCTTGTTAACCCTTCAGAATGTTAGGAGTGGTTTTCATCTGACTTCCCAGAACTTGACTCCTGGTTGGCAGTCTAAAAAATCAGATTTCTGGTTGATTTGGCATAAAACTTTAGAACATAGGGCCTGGCATGGTGATTTAGTCTCAACACTTGGGAGGCCCCAGGCAGGTGGATTTCTGTGAGTTTGAGGCCAGCCTGGTCTACATAGTAAGACCCTGTCTCAAAACAAATAAACAAATAAACAAACAAACAGAATACAGAGCTCCTGACCAAAGCTCCTTGAAAAGTTAAGTGATTCTTAATTTTCATTCTAGAATGCGGGTAGGTAGGCTCCAGAATGTTGTCTGTCTGATTGGTGACACAAAATGTCATGTTCCTGGTTGATGATCCAGAACACGAGTCAGACCAGTCCTGACCAGAATGTCTAGAATGTTGAATTCATTTTCCTGTTCAGTGAAGGACAGAGCAGAAGAACCCAGTGCCCAACAAGATTGCATTGCTGGACTCTGCTTGCACTGAGGGGGCAAGGATGTGGAGTAGTGTTCTTGAAATCCCACTTTGATCTTGGGCCAAGGATGTGGAAAGAGCAGGTGGGCTTTTCCATGACCTTGGCTGGAAGCTACCAGAGCGCCAACCCCTTTACTCAGGGCAGCTGTTTCTCATGAAGCTAATAAAATTCTTTTTCCAAAGTGGCTTGTCTATGTATCTCCTTTGGTCCCATCTTCAAGCGCAGAAGCAACGAAGAGAGGCCTTTCTCTTGCCCAAAGGCCAGGTGTACCAGAGGCTCAATATAAGACTTTCCGGGTGTTGGCGGGGGATCCCTGGGAGCCTGGCTCTGCTTCATCTCTGCTTTGTCAGTTGACTCTCCTAAAATACCCAACTCCAAGTCCATTCCGTTTCTACTAGCTGGTTCAAATAACATCCTCTTTTAAAGAATAGACAACAGAGCACCTGGGAAGGAGAGTTCTATGACTCAGTGCCACTTAATTCTTATGTATTTTCATACTGTGGCAGCAGTGAATGGACAGTACTGATGAGGCCTCTGCTTCCCAGAGCTCTCATTCATACGGGGGTAGAACGGATGACAAACCCAACAGTGAAGCACAGGGCGACTGTGACTTCCCTTCTCACCAGCCAGCTCTGTTCTGCCTGTTTCACTCCTGAGGCCAGCGGCTGGAGCTGTGATCCTGAAGTTGGCTCCCTTTCTCTCCAGATCCCAGCCTGATGGTCTTTCCTCTGCCACACACATCCTGTGGTCAGTGAAGAGGGAGGCAAGGACAGAGGGCTAAGTTGAGAGACTGGGAAAAAAGTTTTGTGCTCCAGACTCCGAACTTAGCATTTCTCCAGAAGGACTGTGGCCAAGAAGCAACAGGGGACTTGGGGTTCAGGCTGGACTTCATCAGCGGTGGGCCTGTCTTGGAAGTGTCTTGAGGTCCAGGAAACCTTATTCCTAGCTGATTGGTTAGGGGCCACCCCCACCATTCTTCCCTGGCTCTGCTGGACACAGAATGTGATCCTTGGCTGCTTCTTGACTTAGTCTGATACAGAAGGACCCTTTGGGTGCTGAACATGGCCAAAGAGTGGTCGTGTCTTATTTTTGTTTACCTACTCTCTATTTTCTCCTTTCCAATATTTCCTTTGTTGTTATTTCTGATTAATATCAGGGTTTTTTTTTTTGAGACAGGATCTCACTATGCACATCAGGCTGGCCTGGAACTCACAGAGATCCACCTGCTTCTGTATCCCAAATACTAGGATTCATGATGTGTGTCAGCATGCTCAACATCATATCAATTTCAGTAGTTCTATCTGTATCCTGGCCAAGGGTGGGGCTGTACTCTATCTCAGGCAATCAGACTTCCTGCCCTTTAAAATCGGCCCCTGAGTGAGTCCCATGGAGATTAAGATTCTGACTGACTCATCCCTGCAGCTGGGCTCTGAGAAGACTCTATTAGCTCCTGCTTTGATGATCTCTAGGCAGTTTGGATTCCTGACGTCAAAACTTCAACTTTTCCTTTCATGCTGTGGGCTGTTCCAGGATTTCTCTTTTGCTTCTATCAGAGTTGGTATCTGTTGCTTACAACCACCTTGATGGCTACAGGACTATAGTGGCTCTAGAGAGACTTTTGATCAGGAGAGACATGATCAGATCAGTGTTCTGGAAATAGTCTCTGATGGGATGGGCAGCAGAGGGGAACAGAAGGACTTAGTAGCTACAATATAACTGAGAGACAGTGGCTGCTGGGACCATGTGAAGGGCTGTGGTGATGGTGAATGGGGTGGGCCAAGAGAGAGTGTAATTGCCTAGATTTGCTTAGTATTGAACTGCGTGTAAATTAAAATAATTATATTTATTTATTTTGTGTATGTATGTTTGTGTGTTTGTGTGCACATGTGTGAAGGTCAGAGGACAACTTGTGGGAATCAGTTGTCTCTTTCCCATAATGTTGGTTCCAGGGTTGAACTCAGGTAGTCAGATTTGATAGCCTGATCCATCTTGCCAGCTTACATAATTTTTTTTTCCCAGTCCAAGCATGTTGGAAGCATGAAGTTCAAATCAGAGCAAAGCTGGCACTGAGCAGTCATTCCTGGAGTTTTGGTTTGGTGGATGTGCTGGTATGTGTTAGTTTGGCTGGGCTGCAGAGATCTTTAATCTGGGTGTATCTGTAAAAGCATTCTGTAGACACAATTTGTATCTAAAATAAGTTTATTTTAATAAAGATTACTCTAGATAATGTAGGTGGACCTGTTCTAATCAATTATAAGGCTGCAAGAACAAAACCTGAGGGTTTTTTTGTGAAAAAGAAGAAATTCTTCATGACCTGCAACCATAAACTCTCGGTGAACTTCCAACCTCCTGGCCTGCATCCTGATTTCAGGCTTGCCAGTGCCAACAGTGGTGTGAGCCAACATCTCCAAATAAAGATATTTCCCCCCTGTGCATATACTATACATACACTTGTTCTCTGTTGGTCTTGTTTTTCTGGGGAACCCTCTTACACTTTTCCGTTCATTTGGGACTCACTACAAACAACACAACTCTCTCCAGCCCTTGAGCGCAGGAAGGGATTTATTATAGGATTGCATAATTCATGGCACCATTGGCAGGGCCAGAGAAACAGGCCTGGAGGCTGCAGGCCTAGGAACAGTGGCTTCTGGTCTAGAGGACACTTTGGAGACCCCCACAGGACGAAGGCATCTTAGGTTGTATCTGTGTACCCACCTTTGTCAGAAAATGAATTCTGTACAGCGCCTGCTTCTCACTTCCTCTACATCCTGTTCTGTTTGTTTCCTACTTGATTGTTAGAGACAGGCTCAGGTGTGTGTAGTCTAGCTACGAGAGAGAGTGGGAAAGTAGCAAGGAGGAACTCATAATGTGGAACATGGTTCCTAATGGGAAAAGTGTTCAAAGAGCTGGACACAAGCCAACTCTGCCTTTCTGGATCTTTGTTTTTCTTAGATCTTTTTGCCTCTGGGTCCCATCCTTAGAACACTACAGAACTCAATCAAGTGATACCACCATTGACCTGGCAACAGCTCAGTGGAGCTGCAAGTACAGCATAGCAGAGACTGTGAAGTTCTCACAGTCCATATTCTAATAATGTTTGAGGAAATTGTCAGAACACTGGATGTACCACTTTTCTACTCAACCATGCTTCTCCTACTAGAAGAGTCGGTTAAAACAGCTGTGTGGATGACAGTAAGAAAATCCAAACTTTGGGACTGGAGAGATGGCTCAGCAGGTTAAAGTGCCTGCTATACAGACCTGAGTTCAGATTCCCAGAGTCTATGTGAAAGTCAGACATGTGGTGCATATCTATATTCCCAGCACTCCTAGGAAGTAGAAAATCTCCCTGGAAGCTTAGGGCTGGCTATCTTGGAGCACTCCACGCATCAACAGCAAACAGAAGAGACTCTGCCTCAAAAACAAGGTGGAAGGTATGGACTGACCCCTGAAGTTATCTTTTAACCTCTACATGCCACCCTGGCATATGTATGTGCTCTTACACACAATCACATACATACATATCTATCACACAACATACACAAATATATATTGAAAATTTATTATTATTATTGTGTGTGTGTGTGTGTGTGTGTATGTATATATACCATATCGTTCACATGGAAGTTAGAGGGCGACTTTTGGGAGCCAGAGTTCTCCTTCCACCATGGATCTGGAAATGGAACCCAGAGCATTAGCCTTTTGCAGCAAGTGCTTCTACCTATTGCACCATCTCCCCACCCCTAAACAATTATTTTAAAGAAAAACTAACTTAAAAATTACTTTAATTGAGCACTGTTAAGGGACCACGATGAGCTGCTTTCCTCTATACCTGCTCACTGTGTCCTCTTGTTTTGAAGTTGGTTCTACCCCCTCAGGCTTGGTCAATATTTCCTTGGTTCTCATTCTTTATTCTTAGATAAAAGTATATGTGAGTCATTTGCATAACTGCAGGCTGGGTATTTGGGGTTTGGGGGGCAGTCCTAGCAGATTTCTGTTAGGTTCCCCCCCTAAGACTTTGCATTATAACATACAATAAAGGGTGCTGAGCTTACACACATACCTTGACAAATTTTTACATTTGGAAAAACCCAAGTAACCAACCACCAATAAAATCAAGATATAGAACATTCCCAGCACTCTAGAACTCTCTATTATGTTCCTTTCTGGTAAAGAATCCCACTAACTACTATTCTGATTGCTATCACTAGTTTGATCTATTTATGAACTTCATTTGAATATAGCCACACAATATGTTCTTTTTCTGTATATTTTTTTTTGAGTTTTTGTGCATTTCATATAAGAGATCTTAATCAAATTAAGGCCCCCTCCCCTGTCCACACCTCCCACACCTCCTTCTCCCCTGGATTTCAGGCATTCTGTCATATATATTAAGGCCTATCTGGTCAAGCATTTGTACACAGATATCCCCTGGTGCAAGTTCATCCACCCTCTAGTCAACCTATCTACAGTCACTCCCTTAAAGAAGATTAACTCTCCCTCACCCCGCAGTAATCAGTTGCCAATAGTTCCTCAGCTGAGGTTGGGGTCTGCTGCCTGTTTCCCCAGATCTATGCTGGTTTTTGTCTGATTGAGTCAGCATGGGTCTTGTACATGCTGTCACCATTGTTGTAAGTTCATACGAGCAAGTTTCCAGAGACCTGAAAGCCTCTGTTTCCTTATGTTCGTGCACCAATCCCTTGTCCACTATGGTCCTGAGCCAGGGGATGGGTGAGGTTTAATATAGGAGTCCTATCCAGGGACACACACTCTGAAGTCTCTTATTCTCTAAAAATTAGCCAGTTGTGGCCTTCTGTGTGCCTCACACTCTGTTGTATGAGGAAGCTTCGCAGGTGAGAGTTGAGGAATATATTAATATTCTCTCTACTCCCTGTTCCACTACGTTCCATGAGCCTTAGGTGTAGAGGTTCCCCTGTAGATGTGTCACTTAGGGCTGGTCATCTCTCAGACCTATATTCTCTGTGTGTGACCAGCTCTGTAATAGTCTCTATCTGTTGCAAAAAGAAGCTTCTTTGATGAATGATGTATGGTATACTTGTCTGGGTAGTAGGCAGGTCTGTGGCAAGCAGTTCAGGAGGGGGCAGCAAGGGCAAGATGCGGGTGGAGATAGCTGACAGAGGGTCTAACAAACTAAACTGGAGAATTGAGCTAGTCTGGGTGCAGGGA